GAAACATTATCTGTTAAAATGAGGAAAGTTGGTACTTTATGATGGCGAAATGAAACAAATGAATATAAATTAATGTATATTATCCTAATACTAATGCTTAATCAATAAAGAGAATTGTAGGAATAACATGTGGAAACAATGAAACCTATGCAAATCACAAGGGAAGGAAAAAGGGTGGTATTCAAGAGCCTATTCTGCCACAATTACCCAGCCAGATTATTGTTCCATAAATACAAAAAATAAAATTAAAAAAAATATATATCAAAAAATTTGGGGGGGAGGGGGGAGGAGTGTCCGGGTCCCCCTGCCTCCGCCCCGATTCATACTACAACAACGATTCAAGGTATTTCAATTTATTATTACATGTTTTGTGTATATTAATGGGTAGTATTTTTATGTTGAAAATGGACAGAATACACACGGGTCCCATTTTTTTTGTCAATATTTTATTCATGTGGAGCCCACCTCTCATGTGAGATTTCTGTAGAAATTCTGGAACACAATTTCTATACAAATGGTTTTATTCATCAACAATGCTGTGTGTACACTATTGGAAACCCACAGAGAAGACACAATAGGGGTGGGCTCACATTTTTTTGTAATATTTTATTCACCGTGGGATCCATCCCCATGTGAGATTTCTGGTAAAGTTATGGTGAAATTCTCCTCACAAAGTGGAATTATTGTTTATTCATTCAAAATAGTTTCATTATGCACATTACAGGTTATTTTTCAAAAGAGTACCTTCACTTTTGAAAGTACTAAAGATTTTATGACACCAAAGATGATTGGTCTTGCTTTATAAGAAAACTAAAATTTGTAAAGTTTTGGAATTTAATTGAAGTGACTGAGTTCAGAAAATGTGTAATACACTTCGCTGTGCGATTATTGATTGGGGAAAGGGGCTATTTTGATGAAATATTTACATCAGCAGTTCTTGTTCACATGCAAATCATAGAAAAGAATCTTTACTAGTTGTAATTAGGGCTATGAATGGATTGAATATGGACTGAATTTGCCCATATTCGGTCCGATCTGAATAATTATACGATTCTATTCGATAATCTAACGAATATTTGATTATCAAATTTATATCCAATTCGTTATGTTATCGAATTTCCGATCCGAAATTAAAGAAGTTAGGAAAATAAAATTAATGTTGAAATTAACTTATTATTATTGTTAATTTTTTTCAATTCTTAAACATGTTTAATAATTATATTTTTTTCAACTTTTAGTCAATTGGATTAAAAGTCGCAAAAAGTTGCTTACCCATTTATTGACTCACTTATTTATAGAGGACATTTTCAAGTATTTTGTTATAAACTTTCGATGTGGGATAAGAATTCATTTTGTTTGGTTGTAGTACATTGTACATTAGGTTTGGCTATAGTGTTTTATACAATTGGTTTGACTGTAGTGTGTTATATTATTATAGGTTTATTTGAGCTCAACTTTTGTAAAAAAAATAAATGCATTTTTGAATAGTATATTGATTCAAAATGCGTGGTTAAAAAATAAAGAATTATTTTAATTTGCGTGCAATATTATTTTACTGAATAATGTGTGGTTGAAATAATGTCAACATACTATTAAAGAATGCATTTTTTTCAAAAATGGGGCTGAAACAAGGGCATATAAATAGTTATTTATAATTTTTTAAATTAATCGTTTTCCCATCTTTTACTAATTAATAAAAATTTAAAACTCTCCAAATATTTCATTATACTATATCTTGTTTATTGAATATATTTATTTTTTTAAACTCTTAAAATTGCATTTGGTACTANGATTTGTTATAATAATTGAATCGATAAATTATTTTTATGGCATGTTATTTGTCACTAAAATAAATAAATGAGAAAATAAAAATAAACAAACTGCATTTGGTACTATAATTTGTATGTATTATTAAATAATTTTTAAATTGATTAAAAATTTAAAATAATATTAAAATAAGAAAATACATTTTTATGTTTTTTTATGCGTAGACTTCGTCTAGACTCGCCTAACTTGAAACATCCATGCCTCGCAACGCATTATACTTTTTAGAACATTGTGCACATGTTAATTGACTTTCTTATATTTTTATTATGTTTTGAATTTGATAACTTTTTAAATCGAAATTTACTTATTTTTTAATTTATTTATTTTAATAACAAATAACATGTCATAAAAATATTTTACCGACTCAATTATTTATAACAAATTGGATCGGATTGACCTGTATTCATATTTGATCCATTTAGTTAACGGATTATCGAATTGAAATCCTAAATCCATCCCATTAATTTTATTGGATTCGGATCAAAATTTAATCTATTGACAGCTCTAGTTGTGGTCCTCAATTGGCTTAATAGAAACAAACTCTCTTTTCTAATTGATGAAATTCCAACAACTATCTTTACTATATGAAATATGCAATCTACTGGATCATCCTCTTTCATAAGATTGATTTATTTAGGTGTTACTCTCCGTTTTTATCTCAAGTTTTTTTATTTAAGAACGTTACTTTTGTTAGTATGGTATATCACGAAGCAAGAAACAAACAGACCAGTTTAAAGTATAGATTCGAAGAGCCTTTCTGTTGTGATGAGCTAAAACACAAGTGTCTGAGAGCTAACCCTGTTCACTGTCCGTCCATCATACCTAACATTTCGATGACTGATGACTGATGACTATGATGGTTGATGACTTTCAAATTGACGGTAATGGTAGGAGCGGAGGAGACGATTGTAGTGGAATGCCCATCAGCCATCAATGGACCAGTGTGTCAATTTTCATGTTATTGGCTAGCATCATCCCGATTCATCCATATTCAGTACAGCATTTAAAATTGAATTTTTATCCCTACACATATGAGACCCTCTTTGCAGTTGGTTAGAAAATATAGGCATGTAAATGGTGAGTTTCATATTCAGTACAAACTAATCTATCCAATGGTCAGTGGACAAAGAAGGTGAATTGACAGGTGAGGCATTGTATCTGGGTGGGGAAACACAGTGAAGTTAGCTCCAGCCTTTTTAAGTATTGGATTTGAAATCAAGCCTTGCTGAAATCAAATTAAATGGGGCTTTGTTTGCACAACTGGAAGAGTCCAATTAACCTCATTTGACTTGTTTTCTTCCTCTTTTCCTTATATGTCAACTTAAATGTTGCTGTACTTTAGTTTATAAATAATGTCTTCAATTCTGTATGCTGTTGTGGATAAAATGGAACATTGAGTTTTGGTGTTCCATATAACTCTTATTCTGTGCATATGAGGCATTTTATTAATCTAAAGAATTGGCTTGTGGCCTGGCTTCTTAATTTTAACATTCTACTAAATTGAAGTTTAATTTCTTTTTACCTAATTTATGTTTCTATTAATGTTTATTACTACTAATTTCTTTTTCCTCGTCATCGTGGGTGTATTCGTTAAACACACAAAAGAAAAATACTGCGAGGTTTCATTTGGTGTTACATTAAGGATTTGTTTGGTATGGTTATTGTGAGTATACGTTTTCAACGGTAAATATAAAAAGTAAAAATCCATTTATACAATCATTAGGAGATTGTAAAAACATGTTGATTTTGGCATTATAACTCTTAATTTTTTCTTTAATAAATAAATTTTATTTCTTATATCTCATGAATTCTTATAATATGCAATATTCAACTCAAAATCAAGGACTGGCAAGTTACAAATTCTTAAAGCTTGTTTGGGAAGTAATTTTAAATGGTTTTGTTTATGAATCTCACGTTGACAAATTAATTATAAATAGATCAAATTTCATTTTTCAATCACATATATTCATACTCATTTTTATCGATTTATAAATTATATTGCTTATAAATTTTCCATGAAAGGAGGCTGGATAGAAATAAATTGTGGATAAATGAGTAGTATTTATAGATCTCACAAAATGTTTGAATAAAAATTGATTTGACCGTTTTCTGAATAGATTATAAACAATTTATAAACACTTTTACAAACATTTTATTAGATAATATTTTCAACATAGAGAATTTAAATAAGTGGTTTGAGGAATTGAAATTATCATAATGAATGCTTGTAGATGAAAAATCGTAGTGTCTGTACAAGTAGGGAACAAACGGAGAAACAGGAAGCATTTCTTGCTCCTCAAGTGAGATTATCTTGCTGGAGTTAATTCGAATTCATAATTCAATATGAAAAGCCACTATGCAAAGGTTGCAACCATGGGGAAGATTGAAAGAGACATCTATGTAAAGATTCATTCTTCTATTTGAAGAAATATTTATCGTGTTTATGATATTCTCTTCTTTCTGTCTGCACAAATCTCCAAGCTTGCTTTAGTTGTGTCCTTCTGCATAATATAAAACAAGCCTTCTCTAATATTTAATTGCTTTTCCTTAGTGTTCCAGTCTCTGGGGCATCTTGTTTAAGCAGAAATCATTTCTTTGTTCCATTGTATCCTTCTTTCGTGAGTACATCAAAGTACAGAATAAAGGTAAAAATGGTATTTGACACGTCGAATTTGTGTTTGAATTTGAGTACCGCAAGTGTACGGATCGTTCAAGTAATAAAAATGGGTTTAGAAGTCCAAGTATCGTTCCCACAGAGATTGAATTAGTTCAAACGTTACCAAT